ATAAAGCATAGAAGAAGCAGGTCAGTCAAAATAATGCAGACAGTAAAAGCTGACATTTGGACATGGATGTCAACTTCACCGTTTCACTCCCAGAAGTTGTGCAGGAAGTGCTATAAAATAAGTGCATGCACTGAATTTTTCCATGTAGCTCCTGTAATGTACAGTAGAGGACATAAACGATGGGCTGCCCAGTAACTACAATGGCAGTTTCTTAATGCCTACATGTCTATCCACAGCAATTACTTGAGTAAATATTTTCTCCATATTTTCTCCTCCAGCTGTCACGACAATATGTTACCGCCCGTGGAATGAGAGAGGATCATTCGACATTCCAGTGAACCGGTAGGTCCGAGAGGAATATTTATCTGAGGAAGCCGCGATATAAAGTCTCACCTAAGGAGGCAGGAAATGGACAGGATATTGAATTCTGAAAGATTATGTAACACTTCTGCAGGTAGCAAATGTTAAGAGTAAGCAGAATTCTTTGCCTGGGGTCACATTAAGTGATGGGGATACAACACATGTGGCTAATAATTGGAGACAGACGGGAAAGCCATTTCAGGAGATCATAGCACACCATCCAGCTGGGTGATTTGGGGGAACCCACAGAAAAGCCTATTTTAATGGAAATTTAGGGCAGTTTTGTTAACAAAAGCAGTTTTGTAACTACTTTTGTTAGTTTTCCCCCGGAAAAAGGGACATGTTGTGTGATCATGAGCTGAAAACACAGCATGAGTGAGTGCGTGTGTGTTTGTGTGTCAGTGCAGCGCAACTAATAGGAGTCAGGAGACCCTGTTTGGCTCCCAGCACTGAACACTTATCAGGAGCTATTGGATATTACATCGTGTTCTGTACCTGAGGGCTGCAGGACACAAGTCAGGCTTGCAAAAACAAGCATACACACACACACACAAACCCGACTACAAGTAAGGAATGCAGTACTCTTATTCAAGGATTTACACATGCCATTTCTGTTTCACTTGTACTCAGCACCAAAAACAAATCCCTCTATCCATGTTTTGCAGATAAACACACCGATAAACGCCCAGCACCTCCAGCTGTGGCCAACTGGGTGGCTGAGATCAGAAGCAGAGATATCGGTGTAAAGCCTGATGAACTCTTCACTAGACCATAATTACGTCCAATTCTCTTAGATCACTGCTCATGAAAGTTTGCACGTTCCTGTTACAGGAGAAGTGTCTAACCACCTAACATTAATACTAAGGTTGCATTAATCAAATTTTTTGTGCTATAATGTTTTGAATTCCATTATTTATATATCTCATTATTTCACCGCAAGTGTTCAAGTCCATAAAAAGTTTGGCGCTGTCTGTTTTATGATCTCGTTCAGCTCTCTGTTTACACAGCAGGAGCATTTATGATAACAAACTGAGTTTATCTTTAAATGAATAACCCTTAATTTACCAACAAACAATGATGTTATTTCACAGGGTCACGTTAAGGCCATCAATTCCAACACTGCTGCTGAGAAAATGTGTTTTCTCATGTCAAAATAGCACCGAGTGCCACACCACCCATGACGCCTACAGCCTAGGAGTGACTCACTTTCGGAGCTAGCCTTGAGTGGCCATTAGATGAACTACAGGCCAAGAGGTTGATACCAGGATGAGCTTCTGCCATCAGGAAAGGTCAAATTTATCCACAACACTATGTTTTTCCTCATTCTGATATTTGGCAATAACAGTAATTATCTGAAGCTCCTGACTTGCATCTCCATGATTACAGGCATTGCCCTGCTGCCGCATGATTGCCCAATTAGATAACTGCATGAGAAAGCTGTAGTACAGGAGATCCCAGTAAAGTGATCCATGGCTATCTGCTGTTGTTATTAGACCCGTAGTCGTATTTGTTGTCCCACAAAGAAGCTTTTTCAGTCCTTCAGCTGAAGTAAAAGACTGCGCCAAAATGGAACTGTTAATTACAGTTTGCTGCAAATGTGTTAACCGGTTTGTTTTGCAGGTGAACAAAGTTAGTCTGTTGTGCCCTCGGTGGCTGCCTCCAAGTGTTATCTAACCACAACAACTGGATCCGACAGTTGGCCGGAGGAAACAAGGGGAGTAGTGTTTGTCTCAGAGGGGAGACTGAGGGGAAATTCTGCTCTCTGTTTAAATCACTGTCATGCTGTAATTCTCTGCAACAGAGGGCAACGCTGTATGTTGTACTTGTGTTTGAATAACATGCAATTTTTCCTTCCTATAGGGTGGTTCATGTTTGTGCGGTTGCGTGCATGTGAGGGCAGCACACACACACACACACACTTCATTATTCTGATATTGCACACCAGTTGTTTTTTCCCCCTCATTCTCCATTATGCCGCCTCCATCCATGAATAAAGGGTTTGTTTGGATTTTCCTCCGGCTTTCCGCTGTTCAGTGTTACCCTGGTTTTGCTCTCTGTTTCCTGGCCTGGATACACAGCTGATTTCTTTTTCTTTCTTTTTTTTTTACCTTAGCTTCACAAAGTAAATTATTTCTGACTAGCAGAGATGGGGGAGGAATGACAAACCAATATATCCTACATCTGAACCCGCACAGTGCAAACCATTTGAGTTCCAATATGCCCAGGCTGCTGCCAACACTTTGTTTCCACTGCCTTCTACAACTGTACAGTGAATCCTTATAAATGTCTGTGAGATATTCAATAACTGATACGGAGGATTACAAAACTTTTATGTGGGTTCACATTCTGCCAGAAATTCAAATCTTTCCTTACTACACAGGGTATTTAAAGTGCAAAGCATACTAAGGTTATATCAGAGATCTTATATGATATCATAGCACAGCAACTGCTGTAGATCTACCTAATAAGAATACAGTCAGGTCTCAGATCTGCATGTACTATCTCTACCACCCATATCTTTACAGTTTTACTCAGATGGCATTTTAAATATATGTCACATGGTGTTTCCTTTCCTTTCCTAGTTCTTCAGGGTCCTTGAAGAACAGTCAAAGCTTATTCAATGTCCGCTGCCTTTTGTTCTGTTCTCTGTCAAGATGATCCCACAGTGTTCCAATACCTTTGAGATCTGAGCTCTGGGGAGCCCGGTTGAGCAACGATAGTGTTAATCCTTTGTTTTTTTTCTATTCAGATATGCTTTTTATTGCATTGGCAGTGTGTTTGGAATCGTCATCATGCTGAAAAATGAAGCTTAAAATCTGATTGTCATAATTCCATCAGTTTTGAGAAAATTTCAAATGCCACCGACTTGAATGCTGCACCAAACCACGACACAGACTCCACCATGTTTTACAGATGGCTGTACACACTCACTGTGGTACCTCTCTCCTTACATCTTCCGTACTCCAACAAACCAAAAATTTCACATTTGTATTCAGCACTCCGTCAAACCTGCTGCTTTCATTTTGTTCTTGTGTAATTTGGCTTCCTTTCCTTAAGAATGGCTTCTTGATGGCCCTCAACTCTGAATTTATACACATGTAACAGGAATCATATGTACATCTCATTTTCTGTATCACTTTTTCAAATGTTCTTATCTAATACTTTCCCAGCTTAGTGAACACACTTATGAGCATGATTTTATTCTTCTGATTATGTGGACGTTTCAGTAAAATCTGACCAATACTGTAGGAGGAGTATTGATTCTTGTGATAAAAATGTAAATGTCCCCATAAAAAGAGAGATGTAACCTTGACCAAGAGCACAGTTTGGATGAAGACCCATTAGGGGATCAGTGTGTGCAAGTTTTATTGTGAACTGTGACAGAACGGACAGATGACAGATGCTTTGCCATGGCATCAGCTCATCGGTCCTTCAACTGGATGAAATAAGAAGGGGGAATTACACTGATGATGTGGGCAAACCAGGATATTTCCCAATTATCACCCTTCAGGACCGAAGCGACAGATGCCACAGATCTAGTTCATGACTGGCCCTTATTAATGTGAACACAAAAATAAACCTAATGATAACACATACACATGTATTGTATATGCCTTTTCCATCTATAGATAGATCGTGTCCCTTGATGAATAAATAGAGACTTTAATATCGTTTTATAAGGGTTTAACAATAATAACAAAAATAAAAAGATTACAACTTCTTCTGCTATTAATTTAACTGGCATTTCATTTCATTTCATTGTAAACTGTTGCGGTGCTCCAGTTTCCATCCTCGCCTTGTCATCCTCCCTCTGAACACGCCACAGTTCCACTACTCTTCTTTTTCCTAGTAACTCAATACAAGCAGAGACTTTTACACACGCAGGTGCGCACAGACACACACATACACACACAAAGCAGTGTGTTTACCCCTTTTAAAAAAGGTTGTCAGAGCATATCACATCAGCGAAGTCAAGCTTGCATGCCCAGGAAAGTGGAAGGAGTGGTCTAGTTCTGCTTCCAACACCAAACGCTCAGCCAACAAAACAAATCAGCAAAGAAAAAAAAAAAAAACACAGGAGAGGGTTTACAACTATTTATTCAATTTGCAATTGAGGGATGGAGATGGGTCTGAATTCTCCTAAAGCACAATGTAATTTCCTGGTGGATGTTTGACCACAAAGTGAGACCAGAGTTGTTGTGGAGAGACACGCTGAAGGGTATGAAGAAAACGAGCGTTGTTTTGGCGAGGGGAAAGGGGTGAAAGAGAGGGCTAACCATTTTTTTCTTGTGCTTTACGGTATGAAAACAATTCATAGGCAGCATGAGGAAATTGCTTGCTTGCGTATAGAGAATTAGGGCCTTAAAAAGGTTGTGGCATGTAACCACAACCTGCAGAAAATATTGTGCAATCTATAGCTGGCATAATATGTCCATATGTTTACGTCAAGGCAAAAATGAGAAGCTGGAAAAGAGGTGGGCTGTGTGGCTGAGCTGATTGAAAATTCTTAAAAGGCTGCCTTCAATAACATTCACTGCTGACAGTTCAGCCCTAAACTGTGGGTTCAGGCAGCCAGTCAATATGGGGCCAGCCAAAGATCAGAGCCCATGTACGAAAAAGGACGGCAGAGGCCAACTCACCTTCTTCTTGCTGCAGTAGATCTGCCATTTCTTCTCATCGGGCAGAGCAAACATGGCCTCCCGGTTCTTGTCTGTCAAATCCAGCTCATCCTGCAAAAAACAACAACAAAAAAAGAAGGAAAAAAAGTTAGTTTTTGTTTTGAATTTGATGCTACTGATATATTTCAATAACAGGAACAGTGGCATGCTTCCCACTACATGTCATCACATCTTCTTATAATAATACCCTATGAGTGGGAACTGAGAAGACTATTTGCTGAAGTTCTTTAGCCAAATCCCCCCCCCCATTCTATTTGACATAGTATTTCAGCTGCTTCTTTTTATCACAGTTTTTTAGCCAGACTTTTTACAAGCAAGTATGCATTGCAAGTAGTTTAGATCTTGAACTGCTTTAATGAAGAGCCATGCATGTTGGAATACAAGCAGAAGGTTTTGTATTGTCTCGCTGAAATACAGAATAAGATGAGATAAGATGACCTTTATTAGTCCTACAGGTGGGAAATTTGTTTTGTTACAGCAAAAGTGCAAAGTTATGTAGCAGAAATTAGAAAACACTGGAATGCAATGAAATAAAATAAAATAAAATACTATATACAATAGAATAAAATGGAATACAATACAATTATATATACAATAGAACCTTATTCTATTGTATATATTATTCTATATACAATAGTCACAAATACACAAATGTCACAAATACATGATGTCATCCCTGAAAAACACATCACCTGGATGGGCAGCCTATATTGCCATGTAGCATTAATGGTGCCTTCGCACATTTACAAGTTACTCATTCAATGTGCATAAACACCCACCCCCACCCCATACCATCATAATGTACACTTTGAATTGTAAGCTAATAACAAGGCTCTGCTTCTCTTCAGCATCTGTCAAATAGAATTTAAGATTCTGGTTGGTCAGACTAGAGGACAGTTTTCCACTTGACCTCCACCTCAAATGAGCTCAGGCCCAAAACGAGCCTCAAATGAGCTTCCATGCTAGAGGTTGACATGTTGATGATGTAGTGATAAAATGTGATGGTTTGCAATACAGACATTTCCAGCCTTTATTGCCTTGTTGTTTTGTTCTGGTATCACATTTAAAATGAGAAAATACTTTCCAAAATATGGCAGCAATTTTTTTTTTCAGTGTCAACATTTGATGTTCTTTAAGAAAAAAAAACAAGAACTTTGAAATGATTTGCAAACTATTGCGTTCCTTTTTTTTAACATTTACCACAGCACACATCCCAACATTTCAAAACAGGCTCATGTTTTTATTGCAACTCATCAAGAATAAATGTGCAGAAAAACAGTGATTAAGAATAAACAAACATAACAGCCCAGTAGCATTTAAAGACTGACATAATATAATCAACCCGTCCCTCGGGACACATTCCTAGAAGCCATGTTGTTTCCTTATCCCTATAACAATACAGACATTTAAGCAATGAGTCGAGTTTACACAGCCACATTTAAATCTCCTTCCCACAGACAAGTGTTTTAATATTCACCCTGCTGCTCTACTCAATTCTTCAGCTCAGTACAAGGAGCCTCCTGCACCTTTTGAAATGCATATGAGCCCAGGAAATGAGTCTCTGTGTGCCAGGGGAGGAAAAGTTTAAAGGAAGGGGAGTCAGATGAAGGAAGGACGCAGAAAGAGAAATGCATTCGGGTTAGAGACCCGGAGGCTATGTGGCTCTGGAAATGGGCTGGCACAGAAGAGACAACTAGAGGCTACATCACCAGGGCTTTGTGCTCCGGCTCAGGCTAATCTCACCATAATAGTTTTGCTACGATGACGTAAACGAGAAGAGGGCGAGCCTCCTGGGGCCCCCTGGAATGAAGATGACCACCAGTGGCAGAGGTGGGGCCCCTTTAAAGCCGACCGGCAGATTCGCAGGGTTTGCTTTCATCGCTTTTCAGCAGGACGGGGTGAGGTGGCCCACATTCCAAGAATCGGACACTATGAAGGATGACATCATCTCTCGTCCTTTCAATGGGCTAACCAGCAGTAGCATTATTGTGGGTTTGAGAGGGGAAAAAAAGGGAAAATCCGATGGGTATGAATTTCAAGAGGGTCTATTACAAGTAGAAACCACAATGAAGCCTTAGAATCTTTAGTTCAAGTGGCTTTCATCTCAGCAGCATGATTCACACCCAGAGCTCATCATCGTGGGTCTACAAGGCCGGCTGTATCAAGGGGGAAGCTCACCCCAAAATCGAATTTACATATTTATACATACATATTTATTTTATTTATTTATTTGGTGATTAATTGCACCTACCTTGTGAACAATGTCACAGAGTGACAAGTGTGGAGACCTCACAGTCACATTCACACTTACAAGCAATTTTGAATCACCAAAATGCACGTCCTTGTGCCGTGCAGGTACGGGGAGACTACAAACTCTAAACAGAAAGAGTCCCAGCTAAAATCAAAAAACATAACTCACATTTAAATAAATGACTTCATTTGCTATTACATACATTAAAAAGAAAAAAATATTTTTTAATTTGTAAAATGGGACATAAATTGATATTTCTGTTACCATTTGAGTCTTTATTCGTTAAGCAGACACAAAAACAAGTGTGAAAAGGAAGAAACTATGGACTACAAGAAAGCAGCTCATTCTGGCCTGCCGCCTGCTCGCCGGGTCAAAGCCCTGCTGTCCAAGCTGTTGGTCTTTGGAGGAGCTAATACAGAGAGCCGGTGGGGAAATCATGAGAATGAGACCCGTGGATTTGAACCAGATGGCAGTTGAGCCTGTCTCAGTTCATAGCTGATCTCTGTGCTATTTTGTGTTCTCCGTATAGACTCCTCAGGCCTCTCAGTTTAAGGTCTTATATGGAAAGAAATTATGTGAGAAGAGCATAGATTACAATAGTATTCCATTTAAATATAATTCATTGATTACATAAGACTTTATGAACAGGATAATGTTGACGGTCTCAGGCTCTGCCGGTGCTGTTCTGCGTCAGAATCAAGGAAAAGGGAAAAAGAGATGAAGTTGAAAATGAGGACATCGACTGGGTGTAGGAATGTTCATGTCATGCCAGCTGTAAGGAGGACTTTCACTTTCCAGTTATGCAACTTCCCATCGTCCCTCCCCCATCACCTTTAAAATGTGCTCCAATACCACATCCACATCACATGGCATCTCCTCATGACCAGTACAACACCCAAAGAGCATGCAGTCCCTTTCTCATTTTTCCAAAACAAAACCAAACTACTTTCCACTTCATGAAGTACCCCAGTCTTCTCACTCCAGCAAGCTTCAGTTGGAAATTCAATAAAAGCAAAGCTAATATTGTTACACCTGCTGTCTGAGAGGGGAAAATACATACCTAAGGCCTCCCAAGCCCTTCTTTCATATTTCACCCCGAGCTCCCCATCTAATAATATGACAAATTTATTTATTTTTTAAGAAGTGCTACAGTTGCAATCTCCGAGTGTCATGCAGGCATGCAGACAGATAACTCTGTCACTCAATTTCCTGCTTCTAAAGACGGTTGGGCTTCTCAAATGTCCTGAGATAAAATGAAAAGGAATGGAAGTTCCCAGACAGTTATTCAAAGCAAAACTATTTCCATATTCAGCATACAAATGAAGAAAACTGGAGCTGCACAATGAGAACAAATATAGAAACAAGGCATAAAAAGGACAGAGTAAGGTGCAATGAACGAACAGTTCCTTCATCAGAGATGTCAGGTGACATGACATCTGGATCACAGCTGCTGTGACCCATAAGTTACCGACGTCTCAAACTAACAGTTTTTGCTATCATCATCATGGTGCTTTGAATCCAGATACCATGACAGCAGGGCAGAACTGACTGTGTTATCGAGGGACACTGAATGCTCACCCTGTGTAGCCTCCTTCATCCCTTAAAGGTGACCATGGGACAAAATGCAAGAGTGCAGATTTTCAGGCACTTCCACACTTTTCAGGCCTGGAAAGAGCGCCTGAACCATGTTGCAGTGATCTACTCTGTAAATATAAAAGTAGCCTGGTCTTTTTATGCAAGGTGTGCATTAGCTTTTAGCTAACTAATCATAGCTAATGAAGGCAATGACCTTTGCTTTAATAATCATTTCATTTCCCCAGTGGCAGCATTATTTAAACATCCAGATATGAATATGAATATAGCAGTATTTTATTTTATGACATCAGTATGAGAGGAGAGAGTCTCCAGAAAATATGTAAAATGTAATGTGTAAAATGGATGTAAAGTAGATTTCAGTGTTTTATGGGGATTGCAAACACCCAAACTTCCTGTCTACTCAGTTTCCATACCAGTCATGTAATGGAACAAATGAACTTAATTAAAGGTATTATTTAAATCGTCCTAACTTTAAACTGACAACAACACAACTATTCCTTAAAAAAAAACAGATTAGGAGTGATGCACAAACTTAAGCGAGCCTAAAGCAAATAGATGCAGAAGGTTTTCCAATACTGCCAGCAATCGTAATGAAGATATCTTTAAACATTTGGCACATATTGAGGCTTCTACAGCAACATAAAATTAATTTGTATGAAATAACACACGTCAGATGATTCAAACACGTCTGCAGGGACTCTGAATTATTTATTTCCACCATATGGGAAGAATGTAAAATAGGACAGAGGGATGAGTCATGCGATTGAAGTCTAAGCTGTGTATGAAACTATAAAAGCCGTACCGCTGCAGGAGAACGTTAAGTTAAGAGAAATTAAGTGTGGGAGTGGAGGCAGAGGGTGCAGACCAGAGAATGGGAGCGAAAAAGGTAAGGAAAGACATTTTTTTAACTAACAACAGACCTTTTAAAAATATTCCTTGTGTAGTCATAGTGTCAGTGCTTTAACTAATAGGCCGACATGGTTTTGGGGTTAGGGCTACATCAAAGCCTGTTGGTTTGGCACGTTCTTAATGCTTGAGTATACATGTCGACATGGTGCCGTGTGGACAAAGAACAGAGGAGGAAACGCCTACTTTGAAGTGGACCCAGTCCGCTCATTTCCAGCTTCATATTTTTATTCTTGAACTCTAGAGTACCGTGGCATTATTCAGAGGTCAAAATTATCCCTGTTTATCTAATTCTGGC